CCCGATTGGTATTTTTTTTTGGATAAACACTCAGCTAGTAATTGATGTTTTCATTTTTATATCACTGTATTATAAATCCCCTATTATGCATCTTTTGTTGTCTTTCTTATTTATTGGGTGTGGATGACTCAATTAGACCACTTAAACCAGTTCAATTTTTAATGTTGTTTGAACTTGCTGAGTTAGTTTAGTTCAAGGTTTTTAAAATCGGACCGGATCGATCGGTTGAATCAATCAGACCAGTATCGGTAATGAAAACGGTTTGGTTTACACAAAAAACTGTTTGAGGTCAAAATCGATCAAAATCGTTCAAAATCGATCAAACCAATGGAACCGGTAGAACCGAAAAAACCACCGGTTCAATTCCTCATACAATTTTCTTTTTATTTTTTTCAATTTCACCCTCACCATTCCTTTCTTATAACGATTTTAACCCTTAATTTTAATAAAATTACAAAATTACCTGTCTTTCTCATCAGATTTCCCTTGTTATTTGAACCGATCGGTTCATCGGTTCAATCGATTGAACTGGTCAAATCAAAAACTGGACCTGAAAACGATTCAATGATCGGTTCGGTTTTAAAAACCTTGGTTTAGCTAATGATATTTTCTCTTTACTTGTCTTCCTGTTTTCTTATTCCTAGTTTTGATGATCTTTCATATTCGTTGCAGCTTTCCGTGAGGAATTGTTTCATTAGAGGATCAGTTGCGAGATATGTTCAACTACCACCCGAAGGAGTGGATGTCGAATTACTTCATGACGCCACAAGAAGAGAAGCTCAAGCGGTTGAAATTGTGAGGTCGACCTCTTCACTTTCAGCGCATTATAATGAACATCAAAACATCTACATTAAATGCCTTTGTTTGTTGCAGTTTTTTCTTCAAACCAAACCCTATCTTGACATTGCTGATTACTGTTTGCCCTATGACAATTTAATGAAAAAAATGTTCATCCAGACAGTGCCAATTAATCAGTATTTATCATATCTTGGCTGCATGATTAACTCCTTTAATCTAGGAAACTCCTAATTTGCACTTTGATATGACCATGATTATTAATGGAAACTCAAGATGCAAAATTCTTAACCCTAAATTTTTAATCCATGGGGATGTCACATGGGTTGTTTTAAACACATTAAAAATGACAAGTTAGCATGTTTTTTTCCATGTCATCATTCCAATTGGGTGATAGATTAACGGACATTAATGGAGTCATGAGACATTTAAAGGCAAATTAATTTTCTATCCAATTAGGATTTCATATGAGAATTTCATATAATTAGGGACTTTAATTGAGCACAATTGAAGTTTATAGATCTAGAATTACGAATTTTGTGCAAGTTCAACTCTAAAATGTAATTGAAGCTCTATAAAAATGAAAAAAAAAAAAGAAAAGAAAAGAAAAGAGAAACAATGTTTTTTTAAAGAAAATGTTCTTTTTATTTTTAATAAAAAGTTAGTTAAGATAATTATTATTGTCAGTTTTTATTTTCAATCCCTTATTTATAAAACTTAAATGTAATATGTTTTATTTTGTAATATTAAAATATAAATATTTATTTATCTATTAATATTAAAATTATTAATTACTTGCATTTATATTTTATGAATATAAAAATTCCATATGTAATCATCAACTTTAACATAATTAAATTAAAAAAGAATTAAAACTCTATAAAAATGTCAAAAAAAAAAAAGAGGAGAGAAATAATGTTTTTTTCAAAGGAAATATCATTTTCAGTCATTTCAAAATTAAAAGATCTTTTATAAAAAAATTTACTAAACAATTTTTCACTCGATATATATTTTTATAAAAAATTTTATCAAACACTTTTTATTTCTTAAAAACAGAACTTCTACAACAGATTCTCTCAAACAAGACTTCTATTAAAAGCTCCAACCACACCAAATAAGCTCTTAATTTCTTTGAATTAGTCATATCTTATATATATATATATATATATATATTTGTAGCCAGGGACGGAGCTAGGGGATGCAAGGGGGGCGCTTGCCCCCCTAGACTTTTGAAAAAAAAATTAAATAGATCATATACTTTAAAAAAAGATCAAAGAAACCCTTTTTTTTAAAAATAAAATAGTGTATTCTAAATTTTATTTTTTTATAAATCTTATGATAAATTATTAATCACTTGACAAGTAAAATAAATTTAATAAAATATTTTTATTTATTTGACATGTTTTTCATTGTAATACATGCATAGTTAATAGTTATTGTATCAAATAACAAAATAAAATTAACTTGAAATTAATATTATCAATTCTTTAAAACATTTAGTTTTACTATCTAGATCGTATTGAATAATATTTTGTGATAAAAGTTTTGTTTTAGATTAAAATGTAAAGACACATAAATTTTAACAAGTTTTTCTACATTTAAGATCTTTAAAATTTTAATTTTTGCATATTTAAGTCTTAATCTTATTGATAAATTACAAGTCAAAAAATTCATTTTTAACATATACATTTCAAACATCACTTCGCCCCCTAAGGTTATTTTCAGCAAAAACCTATTTTTAGCCTTTCACCTTATCAAGTTTGACGGTTTTAGTCCCTTACCTTATACTATGATACTTTTAGCCCTCACCTTATTGGATTTATAGGTTTTAGCCCTTCACCTATTAAAATCGAAGAAAATAACCCTCATTTTATACTGAGTGTTAACTCTGTTAGCTGAAAGTAGATTTTTATCTACTAACAGTCAATTAATAGCCTATTAATAAAATTAATGAAATATTATAAAGTTAGTTCTATTAACTCTGTTAACTGAAAGAAGGTTTTTAATAGTTAACAGTCAACTAACAGTCAATTAATAAAGTTAACAATCAGTTAATAGAGTTAACAATCAATTAATAGAGTTAAAAGTCAGTTAACAGAACTAGCAAAATGTTACAAAGTGAAGGTTATTTTATTCAATTTTAATAGATGAGGGGTTAAAAGTATCATAATATAAGGTAAGGGGTTAAAACTTACAAATTTAGTAAGATGAAAAGCCAAAAATGTCATACTATAAGGTGAATGACTAAAACTTTTAAACTTGACAAGATGATAAGTTAAAAGTAGGCTTTTGCCGTTATTTTCTGCCTCCCCCTGTCTGTAGCCCCTTGATCAAAGAAGAGTTTACATTACTCGATCTGCCTTGCTCTTATCTACTCATCATATGAACCAACCAACGTTAATATGAAGGATATTTAATATCCTTAATTACGCACTAATATTTATATATATAAAGAGAGAGGGCGGCTTCTTTCTGAATTTTGTTCTAGTTGGTAATCTTGTTTTGCAAAAGGATAATTAACTCTGATTAATTTGCATGAAGTCCTTTCCTTTTCCTCCAAGAATTGAAAAGCATGATCCGAATATTTTAGATGAAAATGATCATCTTAATTTCTACCATATAATTTCAATAGGTTTAGAAGCTCCCTATATGCAGCTATGTATATCATTAATCATTTTTTTTATATTGTTATAATTATTATATATGTTAATTACTCTTAACAAAATATATATTGAATAAAATAAAAAATCTCACCGTCACATAAATAATAAAAAGTTTAGAAGTTTTTT